GCCGAGGAAAGCCGCTGGCTGTGTAAGCCACTTAGAGGGCCACAAAGTGTTACGAAGCAGGATATATATATATAAGGGCTGGAGGGCTGTGAAATGGCCGCCCGTCGGCAGGCGGGCAACTCCGGGAGGTGCCCAGGAGGCTCTGATGGTGCCCGCTTTGCCTTTCCAGGGGACATTGGGGGCCAGATGGGTTTGTTCATCGGTGCCAGCCTGCTGACCATCCTGGAGATTTTCGATTACCTGTATGAGGTGAGTGGCACCGGCAGAGGGGAGGAGTCGCTTGGCGTGACTTCTTCCAGCAGGGAGATCTTCCTCACGGCCCACCAAAGCGGACGGGGGAAGGGCAGGATCAGGCTGGGGATGCCAGACGGAGGTGCCAAGCGCCCTCTTGTTCTGCCCCCTTCTTCTTTCTCCCCAATCGCCTGCAAAACCTTCGGCACACTGCCACCCTGAGCCTGGCACCGTTTCTCCCCCCCCGCCTTCCCTCGCCTGCTATGCCAGCCTTTCTCCTCTTGCGCGCAGGTGCTCCGGGACAAACTTTCCAGCTACTACCAGGGCAGGAAGGAAGCCCACCGCAGCAATGGCGACAACCTGGTAGGGACCCCTCCCCGCTTCCAGCGGGAAGCACAACCCCCCCCTTCCCTCCAAATGGGTGATTCTGAAAACCAGCTTGAGACACAATTGGGGGGGGGGGTTCCCTTGGGATCCCGGCAGCGACCGGACGGTTTGGAGGGGGGGCCGTTGCGTTGGTGGGGTTCTTCCTGGAACACCCTCGATGCCCCCTCCCGCTTTTCAGCGCTGGTGCCCACCTGCCAGGGGTCTCACCTCATTGCCGTTTCTCCATCCCTGCCCCCTTTCTCTCTCCCCCTCCCCTGATTTCACCCCATCGCTGCCCCCTACCCCGCTTCCATTTGGCATCTCATCTGCGCCAGGAGTATGTGGATCTCCCCTGCGGCCAGCTGCCCCCTCCGCCCAGGTAGCGGTCTGCTCCCACCCACCCATGCACACGTCTCGGGTGGGCTCCCTCTCCCCCTCCTCAACCTCGGATCGCCTGCCCCGGATGGGGAGAGGGAGGCAGGGAGGGGCGGGCCACAGCCGGGGAGAGCGGCACGACACCCACCCACTGCCCCTCTTTCTCCCCGCCCACAGAGCGCCCGCCATCCGCTGCGGAGCCACTCGGACAGCATCGTGGGATACCCCACGGGTGGGCTACCTCGTCACGCCACTCTAGGCAGCTTCGAGGAGTTCGCCTGCTGAAGAGACCCCCGCCCCTCCCACGAGGACGGATCCCTGGCTGGCTCCAGGACAGACAACTCCGGGGGGAGGCAAGACGCCCCTCCAGGGAACTTTGCGCTTCGGGGGCATGGTGGCGAGTGGAAGCCATGCAAGACGGGACTGCGGGGCTCCTCAGACGGCCCCCTCCCCAAAATCTATGTCTATCTGTCATTAAAGGACCTTCTTGGGAACATGTGATGGTTGTCCGACTTTGGCAGGGTGGGAGAAATGGGGAGTGGGTTTCCTCTAGGAACAGAGGCCCCCGTGGGAAGTGAACCCCGTGGGAGTCCTTGCCCGCCCACCCCTTGTTGGCGTCTGCAATTGAGTGGGGGGAGGTGGAGAGCGAGAGGAAACCCACCCACCCCTTTCCAGGCAGGCGACGAAAAGAGCAGAGGGAGGGAAAAGGAATAAAGCAGCATTTTATAGAATTCACAGCTATTCACATCAAAGGGGGATGAG